GAACCGGTTTGAAACTGCGCCACATCTCACATTCCTGGTGTGCGCAGGCGCGGACTTTTGCCCACTTGTAGGTTTCACCGTTTGGCGCCGGGCGAGCAGGCAACTCACGAACATGCCTGCATGCGGAGCGGTATAACTACCAAAACAATACGGGGGCGTGCACTAATGTACCGAGTGATTTACTTGCAGCTCGCGTTACTTGTCAGTCGCACAGAGCAGCTTGCAGGCATTCGCCAGCTGTGCCCTCGTCGTGCCGTCGTGACGCTGTCTCGTTCGATTGCTCTTTCTGTTCGTCTGTCTTCCATCTTCCACTGTCTGTACTGTTCCACTGTTTGTACTTTTTGTGTTGTGTTATTTTCGGAACATATTTCGGAAGCAGCCCTTAACGCTAATTGGCGGGCTGAATGCCAACAAGGTGGCCTCGTGTAAACAATTTCACATGGCGGAGGTGGCGACCGGAAGTGGAAGTTTGCAGTCGTGGCTGCAGTGGCGGCTGGCGGCGGGATGTAGGCCGGAAGCGCAGCCGGAGGCTCGAGCACCGCGACCCTCTCTGCACTATAAACCCAAGTGTGAAAAGATCGCACACTTGGATGTGAGTGATTTTCCATTCGTGCAAAAATACGCGTGCCGCGAGCCTATAGACCAGAAACCGTGGGAATTTTCCAGTAAAAATCGTACACCTGTTTCCTCAAGTGTACAGAATGAACCGTTTGTCTGCAACGGATCAAGAAGAAGAAAAGAAGAAGGTGCAAAATTCAGCCGACAGCTTGCTCTCAGAGCGCCTGATGGGTAGGCAATATCCTGCCCGCAGGGCATCCGTGTATAGCGGGGTGGCCTACCCCGAGACTCGCAGGCGCCGAGCTCCCCAAGCTTCATATTTGCCGAATGAATCTGTGGAAAACGGACTTAACCGGACGATCCCGAAAAGCCGCGCAGAATAACCACTCTGATCCGTTGACTGGGGATATGAAATACAAAGCCAACGTTAAACTCGATTATTAGTATTAATATTCTCTCATGGCAGTCAGCTGGCAACTCCTTCATCGCCATCAGTCCAGATTCATTTATTCAATACGCCCCGCTGCGCACTCTGCGCCCAGCGCCTGCGCCAGCGGCGCGCTGAAGGCATGGGAACGCCCACCTGGCTCGCTGCTTGCCCCGCCCCGCCTGCCCCGCGCGCTGCCGCCACACGTTCATTCACTCGTTTGCTCATTCATTCCCCCGGCCTGTGCGGCCCGCTGCACGGCCCGCTGCACGGGGCGGGGCGGAGCTGATATGCGACGCCTTGGCCCACTTACGTCGCTCATTAGGCACCAAAAGTACCTTCTTTTTTCCTTCGTTTTTTAAATATATTTTTTTTGTTTTCATTAAAAGGTGGAATTGTTTACCAATTTGCTGACGCAAATGGTCGATATTGTTCCGGCGCCACATTAGAAAAACAAAAGTATTTGTAGGTTAATGCTTTTACAAATAAAGGCATTAAAACCGCCAAAGGCACTCATTTTGGAACCTTGCTTCAGGGTTTTTCCGTGCGTTTACAAAAGGCATTTACTTCAAACTTTCTTTTGCAGCTCTACAAAGGCCCTGTGTCTTCCCCGAGGTCTTCCCATTATAATGATAGGGGATAATGTTCCGAAAATTTGTTATCATAAGGTCAGATCGAAAAGTGGCGGAGTGGTGTTAACTGGCTAAACGCAACCGGGCGCACGGCAGCTTCCTCGAGTCCCTGCATTTCCCTGGAGTTCCTGTACTGCTGACCGCCACGCCACGCTCGGTACGGTCCATGACGTCACACGCGCCCGCCGAGGCGTGGCCAGGTTCCCGAAGTCAAGCCGCAAGATTCCCAGAGCGTCTGGCCAGGGCGTGGCGCGGGAGGAGCCGGCGGAGTCCGCGGCGGAGCACTGTGTCAGGGCTACCGGTGTCCCACGCCGCCGCCGCCGCCGCGATCAGCTGATCGGGCCGCCGGGCCGGCCCGAGGGGGGCGGGGCTGTCAACTGAACTGGGCTGGCCAGGAAGAGTCGAGCC